AGTGAAAATCTCTCAAAAAAAAAAAAAAAAAGAAAAAAGAAAAGAATCTCAAAACAAAAAATGTAGACACAACATCTAAAACTTATGGGCTGCAGCAAAAGCACTAGTAACAGAAAAGCTTATAGCAGTAAATGCCTACATTTAAAAAGAAGAAATATCTCAAATAAGCAACCTGCTATAATACCTCAAGGAACTAAAAAAGAAGGGAAAAGTAAGCCCAAAACTAGCACACAGAAGTAATAAAGGCTAGTGCAGAAATCAATGAGCTAGAGACTAGGAAAATAATAGAAGAACATGATGAAACTCAAAGTTAAGCTTTTGGGGAACTCTATGATAGATTTAAGAAAAAAAGAGAAGACCAAATAAATAGTTCCGAAATGGCAAAGGAGACATTACAAACAATGCCTTACAGATAACTGAGATCCTATGACACTGTTATGATGACTGTATGCCAACACATTTGACAAGCTAGAATAAATAGATAAATTTCAATAAATGTAACACTTTTAAAGACTTGAGTCAAGAAGAAAAAAATTTTTTTTCAACTGAAGCTGGGGTGGATTGTGGTATCAGAACCTTATCTGGGGTTCTGTCTCTTGTATTCATGGAAGAGGTAAATAATAAATGTCAAAAAAGAAAAAGAGATAGAAAGCCTCAGCAAACCAATAACAAATAAAGTGATTGAATCAGTATTCAAAACCCTTCCAACAAAGAAAAGCTTAGGGCCCATGACCTTCTCGGGTAAGTTCTACCAAACATTTAAAGAAGAGCTAATACTGACCCTTCAACACTTTGCAGAAATAGAAGACAGGATATTTCCAAACTCTCTTTATGAGGTCAGGATCACCCTGGAACCAAAGTCAAACAAAAACACCACAGGAAAGGAAAATGACATGCCAATGTCCTTGATGAACATGGGTACAAACCTTCAACAAAATATTAACCAATCTAACTCAACAGCACATAAAAGGATCATACGCATGACCATGTAGATTTGTTCCCAGGTATGAAGACAGTTCCTGTTTGAATCAACCACAGTGATACACTACATTAGCAGAATAAAGGATAAAAATCCCATGGTCATCTCAGAGTGCGAGGAAAGTGGCTGACAAAACTCAACATCCTTTCATAATAAAAGCACTCAACAAATTGGGTATAGAAGGAATTTATCACAACACAAGTAAGACCATATATTAATGGTCTCAATGGTGAAAAATTGAAAGCTTCTCCTCTAACATGACGAATGAAACAAAGGTGCCCACTTCAGAATATTCTGTACTATGTCTCATGACTATATATGAATATATCGTTATTTCAAAAATAAAATTTTAATTTTGACAACCTGAAAAACATGGATGATGTATAACTATTTCCAACCATATTAGCAAATCTTCCAGTTGTAATACTGTTTGGAAGAGAGACATACGATGGTATGATACAATGGTTTATATCCTGATGGTATGATTCTTTGCAAGAACGGGTGATACAAGTCTGCAGTGTAGTCGGAATAGTGGTTGCTGACAGCCCGGAAAGCAGCAGAGAGAGTTCCGAGGTGATGAAAACATTCTGCATTTTAAACTGGTGGTGGTGACACGGTTGCATGTAAAAACGAAGCATGAATGCTAACGAACCCGTAAGTGGGTATTCACCTCACATACGTTACACTGCAGTGAAACAGGCGAATGACTGAGAAAGGAATTGGGCTCAGAGGTACCTGGTACCTGCTGTGTGTGGGGAGCACGGGCCACCCAAGGTGGCCGGAGACGGAAGGGGACCCAGAAAAGGAAGATAAAGGCCAGGCTGGAGAAACTTTATACACCACGCCACAGAATTCTTACTGCACCCTGCAGGCAACAAGGCGCTCCCAATGGCGATCTTAAACAGTTAAGTGATCAGCACTGTTTGCAAAGATCACATTTGGGCTGAGTCCCTCAACACCGTCTTAAGTATCTGAATGCAAAGTCCTTTGGGAACCAAGAGTAGACAGTTGCCTGGACCTAAGGTCCCAGATTTAGGAACAGACATCGCCAGAAAGAGTGACTGTGGCGGCCTGACTCCACGTGGAGTGCTGTGACGCAGCGCCTGAGACTGGGCACTTGACGGACAGCAGGGGCAGACGCTCATAGCTCTGAAGGCTGCGTCCAACAGCAAGGTGCCGGCAGATTCCGAGCGCGCGACAACGGCTGCGCTCCGCTTGGAACACGTTGCCTTCTGGACGTGCCCTCGCAGGGTGGAGAGGCAGGACAAGCTCTCTCCGACCTCTTTCCTAAGGGCACCGGTGCCATTCATGAAGGTGGAGCCCTTTGAAGCTAATCGTCTGCCAAAGGCCTCACCTCTAACGTCATCACTTGGGGGTTGAGTGTCAACAGATGAACTGAGGGAGGGACAGACATCAGACCGGCAGGCAGTAAAGACAAGCACAGTTCAGGTCCGTGTGCACACACGGGCCACTCATCCTCCTACCACACTGAGCCTGAGGCCGCGACAGCCAGAGTGCTCAGGGCCTGTGTGGAACTGCACCCATGCAGGTCCCACCCTCGCCCTCCGCCCACACGAGGACCATCCCTATGGTTATGAAAACATTCCAGCTCCCTACTCAATATGCCATAGTTAACTTTCCACCTCCCACATCCCAGGAAAATAGTTTGCTTGACTAATTTCTTGAGCAAATATGATTGCTTGCTTTTACTAAAATTGTTCATTATCTTCATTTTCTTTCAGAAAAAGGAAAACAGAAAAGGGAGAAAGGGGAACAGAGATAAAGATCTGACCGCTGACAGGTGAGGAATGCATACGTCTGACCTTGAGGATGTGGAAAGGGCACGGGGAACCCTGGGTGGCAGCCCGCATGCTCGGCCTGGCCTGGGCAGGGCCCCCTCTCTGGTACACCTACCGTTTCTTCCTCACCGGCGTGGCATGGCGTGTGTGACCTGAGATGGGGAAGTCTAGGCCATTCTGCACTCTTCTATGGATCCTGGGTTAGAAAGATGCCTAGAAGGACCCAGAAGGCAAACTCTGACCCCCAGCTGGGCTGTCCTTAAATAAATAAATAAATGTTTAAGAAATGACATCCTGATGAAACTTTCAATGAAATGCCAAGACTCTGAATCCATTTAGGGAATAATACATGGTCACCCTCCATAGCCCCAGGCATGTCCGCTGGACACACCATGCTTGTCAAAGGACTGAGTCCAAAAGAAGAGGCTGATACTTGTAAAGGGATATTCCCACTGCTGTAGCGTCGTTGGCAGGGATGCTCAGTTTTTAAGCTGAAATGGCCCTTGAGTGTCTTATAACTGAAAATAAGTAATACCTGGGTTTTCAAAGAGTAACATCAGGGAGCTTCATTAAAAAGCCTCACAAATAGATGCTGGCGACCATGTTGAACATCTACCTTTCTTCCCACGGGCTAGCTAAGGGTCAGCACACGTTGCCCTCCTGTTTGCGATGCCCCCTGGGGCCCCAGGATTATTCTCTCCAAACTGCTTGAGAAGAGATCAGGACAGAGGAAGCCTGGCTTAGAACTCTCTGGGAGAACGAGGAGACCTGCGCTGCAAGCCAGCATCTGAGTCTAGGGACAGCTCCAGTGAGACCGGAGCACCCCAGAGCTAGCACGTGCGTGAGGGCTTTGGCAAGCTGTGTCCGGAACAGCAGCTGGAGGGACTTGGGCTCTGCAGAGAAACACTCTCTCAGGATATCCCCGGAGGGCAGTGCTGCAGGTCTTGCCACTCGAGGTTCTGTTTGGGAAACAGTGAAGGTCGAGATGCTGGGTCTGACTGCTGCCTGAGAGGGACCTGGTCCATTTTTTCAGATGCAGGTGCCCCAGTTTCTGGGAGGCACATAGCTGACCATGCACAAACGCTGATGCCTCCTCAGGGATAGACGGGCATGCGTGTGCAAAGGGCCACGGAGTCTTTCAGTAGCTTTTAAGTGCCATGTCTCTCCTGTGTCCTAACATTCATCCAAAGCCGAGCAGAGTCAAGTAGAGATCGCGTTCCTTGCCTTCCAGTGACAATCTGAGAAATGAAATTAAACCACCAAAGTGACCTGCAAAGTTAGAATCACTCCTTCGCGGCCTCTTGCATGTAAGCACGACTTTACTGGACACAATGCTGCTTTAACAGGAGTGACCACATCCCGTGGCTCACAGAGACGTTGCCTGTGTTCTTGGCGTATGCGTCCTGAGAGCTGAACTTTCGTACTTGAGCCGCAGTTGCTTCTGTGATGAAATGAAGTCAGTGTTTGATTCATTCTTATGCCCAGAAATAGCAATGCCTGGTAACCTCATTCCTGAAAGACTTTTCATTTTAAATACTCTGTACCATCGGACGAGCGCTAATTCTGCCACAAAATCATAGGACATCTTTTCTTCTCTCCTCAAATTAATGGAGCCCTTAAATCAGTATCTTTATCATAATTTATGGTAGGACATTGTTTTTATTCTTGTTTTTTAGGTTTTTGCCATAAGGCATGTGCTTGCTGGAGAGAGACAGTGAGAGAGAAAGTGAGAAATCATCCCCTAGGGAGGTTGCCAGGCCGCAGTTCCTTCTCCTCCATTCTCCTCCTGGAATTTCAGGCATGCACACGTGCCCAGTGTGATTCTCAAGGTGCTGGATCTGAGACTAGAACCGCCATTGGCCATGTCGGACCCAGAGTGCTCAGGGCCTGTGTGGAACTGCACCCATGCAGGTCCCACCCTCGCCCTCCGCCCACACGAGGACCATCCCTATGGTTATGAAAACATTCCAGCTCCCTACTCAATATGCCATAGTTAACTTTCCACCTCCCACATCCCAGGAAAATAGTTTGCTTGACTAATTTCTTGAGCAAATATGATTGCTTGCTTTTACTAAAATTGTTCATTATCTTCATTTTCTTTCAGAAAAAGGAAAACAGAAAAGGGAGAAAGGGGAACAGAGATAAAGATCTGACCGCTGACAGGTGAGGAATGCATACGTCTGACCTTGAGGATGTGGAAAGGGCACGGGGAACCCTGGGTGGCAGCCCGCATGCTCGGCCTGGCCTGGGCAGGGCCCCCTCTCTGGTACACCTACCGTTTCTTCCTCACCGGCGTGGCATGGCGTGTGTGACCTGAGATGGGGAAGTCTAGGCCATTCTGCACTCTTCTATGGATCCTGGGTTAGAAAGATGCCTAGAAGGACCCAGAAGGCAAACTCTGACCCCCAGCTGGGCTGTCCTTAAATAAATAAATAAATGTTTAAGAAATGACATCCTGATGAAACTTTCAATGAAATGCCAAGACTCTGAATCCATTTAGGGAATAATACATGGTCACCCTCCATAGCCCCAGGCATGTCCGCTGGACACACCATGCTTGTCAAAGGACTGAGTCCAAAAGAAGAGGCTGATACTTGTAAAGGGATATTCCCACTGCTGTAGCGTCGTTGGCAGGGATGCTCAGTTTTTAAGCTGAAATGGCCCTTGAGTGTCTTATAACTGAAAATAAGTAATACCTGGGTTTTCAAAGAGTAACATCAGGGAGCTTCATTAAAAAGCCTCACAAATAGATGCTGGCGACCATGTTGAACATCTACCTTTCTTCCCACGGGCTAGCTAAGGGTCAGCACACGTTGCCCTCCTGTTTGCGATGCCCCCTGGGGCCCCAGGATTATTCTCTCCAAACTGCTTGAGAAGAGATCAGGACAGAGGAAGCCTGGCTTAGAACTCTCTGGGAGAACGAGGAGACCTGCGCTGCAAGCCAGCATCTGAGTCTAGGGACAGCTCCAGTGAGACCGGAGCACCCCAGAGCTAGCACGTGCGTGAGGGCTTTGGCAAGCTGTGTCCGGAACAGCAGCTGGAGGGACTTGGGCTCTGCAGAGAAACACTCTCTCAGGATATCCCCGGAGGGCAGTGCTGCAGGTCTTGCCACTCGAGGTTCTGTTTGGGAAACAGTGAAGGTCGAGATGCTGGGTCTGACTGCTGCCTGAGAGGGACCTGGTCCATTTTTTCAGATGCAGGTGCCCCAGTTTCTGGGAGGCACATAGCTGACCATGCACAAACGCTGATGCCTCCTCAGGGATAGACGGGCATGCGTGTGCAAAGGGCCACGGAGTCTTTCAGTAGCTTTTAAGTGCCATGTCTCTCCTGTGTCCTAACATTCATCCAAAGCCGAGCAGAGTCAAGTAGAGATCGCGTTCCTTGCCTTCCAGTGACAATCTGAGAAATGAAATTAAACCACCAAAGTGACCTGCAAAGTTAGAATCACTCCTTCGCGGCCTCTTGCATGTAAGCACGACTTTACTGGACACAATGCTGCTTTAACAGGAGTGACCACATCCCGTGGCTCACAGAGACGTTGCCTGTGTTCTTGGCGTATGCGTCCTGAGAGCTGAACTTTCGTACTTGAGCCGCAGTTGCTTCTGTGATGAAATGAAGTCAGTGTTTGATTCATTCTTATGCCCAGAAATAGCAATGCCTGGTAACCTCATTCCTGAAAGACTTTTCATTTTAAATACTCTGTACCATCGGACGAGCGCTAATTCTGCCACAAAATCATAGGACATCTTTTCTTCTCTCCTCAAATTAATGGAGCCCTTAAATCAGTATCTTTATCATAATTTATGGTAGGACATTGTTTTTATTCTTGTTTTTTAGGTTTTTGCCATAAGGCATGTGCTTGCTGGAGAGAGACAGTGAGAGAGAAAGTGAGAAATCATCCCCTAGGGAGGTTGCCAGGCCGCAGTTCCTTCTCCTCCATTCTCCTCCTGGAATTTCAGGCATGCACACGTGCCCAGTGTGATTCTCAAGGTGCTGGATCTGAGACTAGAACCGCCATTGGCCATGTGGGAATCCAGCACCTTAACACCACACCACCTGCTGGCCCCAAGGTAGTTGAAAATGTTTTATTCTATAATGAAAGTTCATTTCACTGGAAAAATCCAACCCTGTGTATTTGAAGTGTCTTACTATTCTCTGTTTTGGTTATTTTAGAGACTCTTCTTCAATTTTATGTTGTTAATATTTTATACCTATGTTATGTTTGTTATGTAAGTATTCCAGTTAAAACTCTACATTAATACTTTCTTGATATAGGTCAGATACTGTTATCCCAGACTTCTTCATAATTAAACCTTTCTTAATTTCAACAGAAGACATATTATTTTAAATGTTTGATGGAGTACAACTCCAGTCAACCACGAACTGGGGTCGTTGGATTAACACTGTCTCCAAATATCGTTATATTTATAGTTCTCAACTTAAAGGCAAGGGGATGATGAAAGAGTAAAGAAAACGAAAAGAGACAGCATCTCAAAGGATCCTCTCAAATAATAAATAGTTCTGCTCAACATATCTGAATTCTCACAGCCAAACGCACTTAATATCGCTGGGAGCTTGCATTTAGAGGGATACGATGTCCATGTTCTCTCGATTAGTATAAATTCCCAGGGGCTGGCCACATGCCCAAGGCCCTCTTACACAAGTGGGTCTGACATCTATAAACACCGTAGGAAAGTGTGACACCCTTCTAAAAGATCATCGCGCTCACAGCTTTAGATGTTTTATCTTCCATGGGAGAATTACCTCTGAGATAAGCCTATGTTCCTCGTAGATATTTCTTTTAAACTGTTATGCTAGTGAGTTAAAAAGAAACATAAATTTCACGAAGGATTAATGATCTACTACAGCTCGCAGAGTCTAAGTGAATATGTAACGATAGGCTCATCGCATTATTATTACTGGGTAATTTCGAATGCATATTTGTGCCATCAGGAAGACTGATGGAAGAGCAGGCTACAGGAGTTATAGCTGGTCTCAGATGCCCAAAGATATCATTCTTATTCATAGGAAACAGCCAATATACATACAGATGTGGGAGAGTATTGTTTTTCAAAGCCTACTTTATCCTCAAATTGTAGAAAGGCTTCAAAAATCCATAAACTTGCATATGTACAAATGTTCTTTGATATAGATCTGGCTTAAGTTTCCTGCGTACATAAGGATTAACAGAAACGCTGCGGGTTTTCTGCCGTGCACGTGGATAGACGGTGTGCTTTATCCGCAGGACCATCGAGTCTCTGTACAAGGAACTGGTGGAAGAAGGGCTGCTGATCCAGGCTCGGAAAACCAAACTCTCCGAGTACATTGGTAAAGTACACAAAGGATAATGCATGTATGTGCCCCAGGTCACCCCTTGGGTTTTGAGACCCTGGAAGCTGGAAATGTTCCATGTATGCTTTGTCCAAACCAAACCCTGGCCCCTGCTGGTTGCTAGGAATGTTTGTCTGATTGAGCTAATGTGAGCAATCTAAGAGTAAGCTGTGAACTTAGCAGTTCTCTTAGTAAGATGGATCCAAGCTCTCTGCCCTGTCATGGTGGGAGCAGGGTTTGTAACTTGCCAGCAAGTTTCCTTGGGATATTCCTTCTGGTGTGTGTAACCCAACTTGAGAAAAGGAAGAATTGTTCATTCATTCAAGTTTAAACAAAATGCCCCTAGGGGGCAGCACCTGGTGCTTCCACAATCTGGTCCTCACAGGAAGATTTCCTTCCTTGACTTTCTTTTTTTTCCCCCAGAAGATGACATGATTTATTCTGTAAATTGCATCCAACATGTAAAATAAATAGCAGCTTCAGAAGTCATCCTGTTATAAGGCTGGCTGAGAAGGGTTTCCCACCACCAGTAGCTGCATCTGAGCTGATGGATCAAGAGGCACCAATGGGATGTCTCAGCTCCTGGGAAATGCATCTCTCTAGCAGAGACAGAAGTGGCTGGAAGGAGATGCGGGCATTTGTATCATGATCTCCAACCCGGGTTTCTCTCTTGATTTTTAAAACAATATGATGACGTGAAAACACACTTCGAATTTCATGTTACACATAATTCTGCCACCCTCATGCAGGTAGGATTTTTACTGTCAGTGAGCGAGGGGCTCTCCCACCTAACCACAAAAGGATAATCACACTCAGCAAGTTTAACGCTCAGGGAATCCGACAGCCCCAATTGTCCTGATAATGTCCTCTGTAATGGTTGGTCTCTCTGAGTCCAAAACCCAGACAAGGGCCGTGCATGAGACTGCGAGGTTTCTCTCGCCGCCCTTCACTCCCCTCATCCAGAGCAGCCTTTCTGCACCTTTGAGTCATTCTCAACATGGACGTTTTTGAGGGACCAGAGTTGTTCTGAGGACATCCCACAGCTGGGTTAAGTTTCTTTATCAGTGATTCAGGTTAGACATTCCTGACGGGAGCACCACCAAGGTGATGTGTGTCCTTGGTGCTCCCCACTGGTGACACACGTGCCACTTTGTCCCACAGCCTGTCGAGTTTCATCACATGGCAAAGGTGGTTTTGTTCGTTTGTTTGTTTATGGCAAAGGTGTTCTTCCCAGATGCCTCCATCTTCCCTTGTCACTAACGAGTAGCCCATGCGGCGACACTTGGAGGCCCTGCACATTTCGTCCCCAACAGTCTTTGACACACCTTCTAGCCCCTACTGAGGATTTCTGCCTGCTTCGCTTATGGTCATGATGGTGGTAGAATGGGGATTTTCTCTTTCTGTCATCCCTTCTGCATTGACTATATCCTGCTTCTCTGTAAGGAGGCATAGAATTGCTTAAAATTGTGCTGTCAGTGTGGACGCAGACTAGCTTCTTAGCCAATGTATTATAATCGGGCTCTATCATTACTCCTTCCGTTTTGGCCTGTGATAGCAAGCAGACTGTCATTTTCCTCTATCAAAGGATGACTATTTTAAGCCATTTGAAAGGCGGTCTTGTTGCCTTCTCGAGGGCTTGGAGGAGCCTTCAAACTTCCCAGTAGTATAAAAATTCTACTAGAATTCATGCTGGAATATGTATTGGGTTTCTATTTATTTTATGTTTCTCATTCAAGTGCTAGAGACTTTTCTCCTATATTGCCTCAATATACCCTGTTAATTCTGTTGATATTTTTAAATGACTATTTTTAACAAAAGTGACTCTTCTTTGCAGTTTGAGTCTCTGAGCAAAACACCCCAGTGCTTGGTTCAGTGCCTTGCCTTGTACAAGCCTAGGATGTGGTAGGCTCTCAGAAGCCATCTGATTTCTCGGCTCCTTGAACTCTATTTGCTCTGACCTTTTCAATGACCTGTCAGTTCCCAAATCACCTTTAAGGAGCCCAAGGTCATGGATGGGACCCACCATTTAAGAGTGACTCTAGGGACCAGCAGTTGGCGTAATGGCTATGTCTCTGGACTCCCATGTAGCCAACCGCGGTTCACGTCCCGGACCCAGTGGCTTAAACTCACACCGGGCACATATGCGTGTGTGCCCAAGATCCCGAGAGGAGAATGGAGGAGAAGGGATTGCTGTGTGGCCATCCCCCCTAGGGGGTGATTTCTCGCTTTCTGTCTCTCTGCCTCTCTCTTTCTGGCAAGTGCATGTGCCCTATAGCAAAAAACTCTCAAAAAAAAAAAAAAAAAAAAAAAAAAAAAAAAAAAAAAAAAAAAAAAAAA